TATTAGTGCACAGGTGGCGATAGCCATAATACAAATCAGAAGGTGAATGTGCACTAATAGAAGTTTTTAACATGGTTGCGACACGTATAAAAATGAATACAATGCGTAATGGGAGCAAGTCAATAAAGGAACTTATCGTATGTGAGAGTCCCTTGGTGAAAGTCCGGACGGCGGTAACGTGTTTTCTCCGCAGTTTGGCTGCTACACGTGTTCCATGATTGTCCGTGGACTTGTGGAGAGGTTGACGTCCTGCTCCCTGCGCGCGCGCGAGACTGTGTCTTGACTGGGTTCAGTTTGACTTTATGTGGGTCCCAGTGCGTGTATGTGGGCGCGTCGGCACATGAGTGGTTGCTGCGCTGACTAGGCGGTGCAGACAATCGATGTCCGATGAGCCGGCTTAATGCGACGTGTTTGTGCGTATGAGAAAAAAGACAAGCCTCGCGATCCAGTGACTGATTGTGAGTTGAACAGTCAAGTATGTGGGTGACCGGGTCGCTACAACTGCTTATCACAAAACGTATCTCCTGAGGATAGTCGCGGTGATTTGTACCGGTCTTCCTTCCGCACCGACACCATTCCTGTTGCTTTACACCAAAACGAGTTAGATTTGGACTGAAGTATCGCCTTTATTGGGGCGAAACGCACTGTTCACATCCTCAGCCTCAAGGGATACAAGCTCCAAACCTGTATTATACAAAGTGATGGTTTCCCACTAGCCTAGCAACACAAGCGCCTCAGCGACGACACGGTAATTGAATTGACTCTACCAATCGCTTGGCCTATCAGTCAGGCCAACGGACGCTTCAAACTTGCCGGTTAATTTTCGACCCGATGTGAGCACTGGCGTCATAAATTAGCGGGACTTACGAGGCCTACAATTAACGTGTAAGCTTAGGCGAGTAAGCATAATGGGCGAAGAAAAGTAATCGTCTTCGTTGAGGCCACACCCATGGGACTTCCACGGCAGCACCTCTAATCAACCCCGACTTACTGTATTGTCCTTCCGAAGCTAGGTCGAATAACCATGTTGGTCTTTCTAGGAGTGTTGCAGAAATCGATTGCAACCCTCAACCGTAATTCCCTTGTTTACCAAGGAAGCGAACAAAACAACCACTACGCTGCAGTGAGGCGACAAACTGTTTAGTGCATCAGGTGTTTGCCCATAGAAAGAGGACAGGACCTATTCAAATGACTTCGCGGGGTTAACACAACGAATAGGCCCTCCAGATCGAATCTACCTGAAAGCCACCGAGAAACGAGGATCGACTTCCGGTTTAAAAGACAGTGAGTATGGCGCCCCCCGTTAACAGTAAGCAAACAAAATGCGACACAAGCACGCAGAAAGACAGACGATGTATGGACAGACGACAAAACCAAACACAATCCAACAAATTTGTACAAGGACTCCCAAGTGAACTCGAACTGACACACAGAGAGAGGGAGGCAGGAAAAGAGAGGAGAGAGAAAATGATCCGACATCTGCTTCTGAAAGATAGCAAAACGGGAGAAATCAAAACAAAAAAAATAAAGCACGAATCGATACCACAACCTAATCAGTTGGTCGGCAAAACAGTTAGTCAGTCAGGTACACGCCATGTATTGGAGAGTGTTGTTTTTTTCTTCACAGCAATCAGAAACCCGCCTCGGTGTCTGTCGGGGATACAGTACGTTAAGAACAGGCGGGGGAATAGTGGTAAACATGGTAAGAATAATAGTAATGGTAACGGTAAAAAATAGATCTTCTCCCATGTGTTTTTGTGTGCCTGCGCGTATAGAAAAACAAAAAGAAACGTCTCACACAGGTGAGAGGGCCAAGCCCGAACCCAGCGCGACGAACATCAGGAATCGGGTGTAGAAAAAATGAAGGCGTTGAACGGTGGCCGAGGATCTCGTAGAAAAGACCAACAAGCGCCGAATCCCGGACAACACGCGTATGAGACTTTGAACAAAGGATTCAGACCACCGTCAGGTGAGGATGAGAACTCCGACTGAGTAAAATTCAAGTGTGCGTTTGTTTCACAGCAGCAGATTCCGGTCCAAAACAATGACCGATCGATGAAAGGAATGAAACCTATGAAAGAGAAAAGTGTCGTGTTGGGAATGGCAGTCCCAAACGTTGTTGCTCTACCACATTCATCTCTTCATTGTATTCCGTTGGTGTAGTACTGGAATCGATCGTACAGTCTGGTCGTCATGGAATTCAGCGAAGCGTCAACCATGAAATCAACCGATTGCCGCAGCTGTTCCTCCGTCCGTGATAACTGGAAGCGCTGACGTAGTCCACTGATTGCAGCGGATCCGGAACCTCGTGCAAAACAAGGCAACTGGGGACAAGTGACTCGAGCGATTTCAACCAGTACACAAATCTGGAATGTGAGAACAAATGGTAAATCCAGATAGTTTTTGGGTATTCCCCACGGGTTTCACATTTTGGGGAGCCCTGTGACTGCATGCTAATCCAGTGCGTGCGGCGCACCCAGTGGTTGGGATAGTCTTCCAACCATAAACAGTAGTATTCAAGGTCATTGGTGAAAGTGGAATCAATGAAGATCGGTCGACCAGACACCAGCGGTTTGAAAACAATGTTGTTACGTACGGAAGGCAGAAAAAAATTGCGGGCATGGAGTCTGTGGTACAGAAACATGGTTTTAACCGAGTCGGTCGCATTTACCAACTAATTTGATTGTCACCGGTCCGCTAACATCAGTTAGCAAGCATATGGGCGAGATGGCTCAGTGGTTAGAAGCGCGAATTTATCGACCGGAAGGTCCATGGTTCGAACCCGACTTCCCCTGCCTAGGCTTGGCAACATGGCAATATCCCAGTTCTCGTGCTTCCTTCTGGTGGCATGGCAGTTAGGCGCCGAGGGGATGCTACAGCTGAAGGAAGCATATGACCACGACAGGTCTTGGTGGCCAGCTGGGAACTGCAGCAAATATTCTAGTACGCCTTAGTCTGCGATTCGCCGTCCTGTTCAAAAGTCGCGCAGTATTAAACAAGCACCTAAACACATCGTCTTAAAACCTCAGGTATATCATAAGGCTAGTGTGTGATCAACAATCCACGAATGTTTATAACACACTCTTAACGGGTGAGTAGGCTTCAGTATTTTGTCCTTGAATCGCACAACTGGAATGTATTCGTCCCTCTGAATAACGAGCTCTCTCAAAACAACGTTTTCCAGTGGATAACTCCTGACAGCAAGCCGCCTGAAAATATATAAACTAGAACTGAAAAGCATTCTAGCTGTGGAAATATTCGTAACCGAATGTGAACAATGTGGCAAGACTCTAGAGCAAGCAAACACGGTGGTACTCGCGACTGGCAAGATCCAAAACATCAAAGGGTGCCAAGTGGCCCGACACGGAATTTCATGCTGTTGCAAAAGGTTTGGGACCGCACAAGACTGGTACATTAGAGAAATGAACAGCTCGGGAAATCACTTCCGACGGACGAATGTACGGCTACAACCCTGAAGGCGTGTGATCACCAATCAGAAGCAAATGTTTCTAGCTCGGTGCTTCTCTCACCCTGGCGTGAAGTTGTGCAGTTTCCCGACTGCTCCGTACATACACTTGTGTTGGTCTTAACTGTTCTCATTGCAGACGGTCTGAAGCTACAGTAAGCGGGACAATAAGCCGACGACTTGTGTCGGAGTTGCGCGACCACAACACACTGGGAGTGTTTGTAAGCAGATAACATGGGTCACAACCTCCGATTTATCAGCTCCCACCTCCAATGTGCAGCTGTCTTACCCACCTCCCCGAATCATTGGTGGACGAAACTGTGGCAGCTACAACCACTGTACGACAAGTACGCGGTTATTACGGCTATCAATGATGATGATGATGATGATGATCACAGCCTCAGCCTAACAAGCTTATCGATTCCAGATAATTGGCACGGAAAAGATATTATGTTTACCGTGTAGCTCTGAAGAATGCCCTCATCTATGACAAGTACGCAAACATCATGGGTCAACTCACATTGGTGTGCTCAAAGCCGCTCACGCACTACGTTCCTCAGTGGCTTTGATGTTATCAAAGTAGTGCACTGGACAATGGGAAGAGCGATCCTCTAATCACCGAAAATGGGACCAGTGGATAAGAGCAAGGACGCGAGTAGAGTACTTTACGGGTGGGATCACTTTCAGCTACGTCACATTTGGTCCTACGTGCCTTCACCGAAATGCTGGCAACTTGGGATGCATATGATTTATTTCGCACCTACCCTTGGACCTGATCGAGATACTGAGGGAAAAAGTATGGACGCTGAGCTGATTTCATCCGTTATGTCGTAAATCGATTAACCGGTACGAACGTATTAGGACATTAGATTCGTATAAGTAAGTAGTCGTTCAGCTGTAACACCCTTCCAATGTCTGCCAGGTTGCCAAGCCTAGGCAGAGAAGCCGAGAAGTAGAGGTTGGGTTCGAACCACGGAACTTATGGTCAGTGGCTCTAACCACTTGAGCCATTTCGCCCCCAGATTTGTGTGACTCTCGATTATACAAATACGTGCATTCGAAAGCGAATAACCATTATCAATGGAAAGTCGGCAGCAAACTAGCTAGTGAGGTTGTAGACAGAGGAAGAAACGAATGGCTCTGAAGAGTGAATACCTCTGAGAAGCGACAGGTTACGTTCGGTCAGGAGGGAGTGACATTTTGGGAGCGATTAGTGCACTTGGAGACTTTACACGAACGGGCAGGACATCACAAAGGGTAACCCGTCACCAGTATGGCTGATGCAATAACAATCGTTCAGCTGCAACACCGTCTCGGTGCCTAGCTGCTATGCCGCTCGAAAGCAGCTAAGTTGCCCAAGCCTAGACAGGAGCAGTCGAGATTCCGGGGTCGGGTTCGAACCATGGGCCTTGCAGTCAGTAAGTTTGCGTCTAAAACCACTGAGCTATCAGAAAATGTGATCAACGCATCCCCTAACCAGGCGAAACCCTACTTGTTGCTCCAAGAATTGCGTCTCATGTGCCGGCATCAAACTATTATTGCAAGCAGTAGTCGCATTACGACGCATCGAATTGCTGCTACCTTTGTGGTTGGAACAGCTGCTTCGTGTGTCGTTTTTAAACAGAGGTGTGGTAATTGATTGGTCCACTCGCCTGGAACGCGTTCTTGCTCACAGATTAGTTCGAACAACCCAGCAAGACTGGCGCATCGGATCCGGAGTGGCCAATTGAGTGTATAATAGTCGAACAACGGTGATTGTTCACTCAAGCATTATGTTACGGTACAACTAAGTGAACTGGCGCCATCTGTAGTACACAGATCACAAAGACGCGTGATCGGAGAAGATATCGTGACTAGACTTGCCTGTTGCTTCGGTACAAGTGACGTAGAGAGTATGAGAAGTTCGTGGTTTTAGTCAAACAAAGTTGTCTAATAACAGCGTTGTCACGATAGTCGGAAATGACAAAATTTGCCGTACGATGATGAATGCGACTGACCACTTTTTTACTTCCACACGTATATTGAGAAGGAATCAGGCCAACAACACTTCTCCGTAGGTCTTTGCTTCTAACGTGCGTGTTGGATACCATGGCAACGGTATCGATAAGTTGGCAGTTTACTGTTTGCTTTGTGGCTTGTCCATTAACAATAGGTACCTTTACAGTCAGGAGAAAGACACTACAAACGTTGTCCTGTGTCGGAATTTTCGTAGATCATCCGAATGGAACAAAACAAAGCTGTAACTCATTCAATTGAGTGAGAAATTTTGTAACACAGTCTTGGCAAAACTGTATCAGTGGAAGTCGCAAAACAGGTGTTATCTTCATGTCGTATTATCCCGACGGAAGAATTCCAGTTCGAAAACAATCTAGCGCCTCGTGTTTCGATTGGCACGATATTCGAGATATTGCAGTATATTTTCATAAAGGAAACTACTTACAAGGTTTCTGAAAACTCTTCGACAGCCCATGACCGGTTTCGCCCTTGTTGGTGCTCATCAGGCAGTCTCACTTTCCGTCAAACTTGTGTGATACATGAACCCAAGGAACTGGCGAACCACACTCATCTGCTTACTAACAGGACTTTAACGACTGATTCCCAACTGATTCCAGTAGTAGTGCATCACGTTAGGAAAATACAAGAAACCGGTCGTGGGCTGTCGAAGAGTTTTCAGCAACCTTGTGAGTAGTTTCCCTTATGAAAATATACTGCGATATCTCGAATATCGTGTCAACTGAATCATGAGGCGGCCTGTGTGCAGCACATGCAGTTGTACAATGCCATAAACGAGAGATTCAGCCGGGTCTCTCGTGAAAGCCAAATTGATTTGCAAGTGGGTGTATTTCTCGAAAACAGCCCAATTTGAGTTCAAGTAGAACATAAGGTTGACGTAAACTCGGGGACTGCGCCTACCTGACGAGCCCCAAGGAGGGCGAAACCGGTCGTGGGCTGTCGAGGAGTTTTCGGCAAACTTGTGAGTAGTTTTCTTTATGAAGATATTGTGCCTTTTTAAAGAGACACACAATCCACGTCTTCGGTATTATCTGCTTTGACAAACGGTTCAAAGCAATAATCGAGGACATGTTCCCTTTAGAATGGACAAACTCGAAGAGAGAATTGTCAAACAGAAGTAAGTTAGCACTTTCTAAATACGAACGAGTGTACGTTTAGGCGAGCGGTGGATTTCCTTCGCTCTTGAGTTTACAAACTCTGCCGAAATTGGCTGCCTCAAGCTTGTGTACAAGCATTCGATTACTGTATGTTTGCATGAAGAAACCAGACCGATGGAGATCCTAACTTCTATTCGACTATTGTTAACCCATGCGAACGATTGAGGGACCACGTACAAATCGCCTATATGGCATGCTGCGATCAGACGTGATTTGATGAAGGTCACAAACAGCCAATCACATGCCAACATACGCTGCAACATACACAGTTTGACAATGTTAGGGACACTCCTGGAGAATGATAATTGGAGCTCACCTCTTCCATGTGTTTTCGAGCGGCCAATAGCCCACGTAGAAGCAGACATTTGTAGTACTCAAACATGTCGCTACCAATCTCACCCATCACGGCAACTTGTTCACTGGTCAGTTTAAATGGACTGGTCTCGAACCCGAGATTCTTTCCTGGAGAAGCGGACAGCATAAAGCCATAATCGATATGGATCACGTGACCTTCGTTGTCCAGAAGAATGTTGCCATTGTGCCTTTAGGATAAAACCGCATAGAAGAGTGAAAGAGTTGATAGTTGGAACAGTGAAATGCGTAGAGTTATCAGAAAAAACATGGATTGACGCTGCTGAATGCAGCGGTTTTAAAACTGTCGAAGGCGAAACCAATAGAAACGGCGTTGGATCGGCAAAAGTGGAACCTTACCAATGGCCGCAGTGATTCAAGCTAACTCATATTCACCCATAAAAAAGCAGAGTTCGGATACCAAAGGACGTGATGAATGTCAACAACTTGAGTGGACTAAAACAAATCGAAGCAATAACCCATTGATTCCTTGAGAGTCCGAGTAACGCCAATTGCTCATGCCGTAACATTCCAGCACAATAACCCATACAATCACGCCCCTAAGTCCACATTAATCTCAACAGCTGCATTCCTTTCAGTCAAACATCTAATGGTTACGGCCGCGTATAACATGCCCTAGATATGTTTTGTCGATCACTCTAGGTGTTTTCCACTGGTGTAGTAAAGACAAACGAGAGTACATATGTTGATGTTTGACACAACTTTGGTCGATACACGGTTGTCAGGTGCACATCCTGAGGTATTCGTAAGAGCGGGTTCAACCCGAAATTAAATATTCAGGGAATAACGCACCGTGCGGCAGTCTACGGAACGACTGACGGTTTGTTGCAGTTATCCTGCGTTCATATTAGAACCAGGATACAACCAACCCTTATTCACCATCACCATAGGTAGTTTTCCAGTTGTTCGAAGGACGAGTGCGTCTATGAAGTACCCACAAAAGAAACCAAAAAGCAAGGTTCTGGAAAATAACAGTCAAAGCAGAATCATGGTACAACTAACTACCCAAAAACAGAATGACAGGTAACACACCTATCCTTAACCTGTAACAAGAATCCCACTAAACAGTATGCCGCACAACTCTCGACAAAGTTCCGTTGAGCTGTCAGGAAGGCTTCTGAGTTGGGAGGGCCATATTCTCGGTGGAAGTAGTCCAGTAACGAGAGGCGAGCATGCCGTCGAATTTGATGCAGGGAGACCGTGTCGGGAACCGGTTCGATTAGGCCACTGTCAGGAGACGTAACAATCACAGTGAGGGGACGAAGCCACAGTGGTACGCGTTCGGTTTTCCAAATACGCTGCAGAAAACAAGATAAGTCGGAGGATGAAGAGCGTGTGTGTGTGTGTGTGTGCAAAGTCGGGTGTACTAGAGATATCGACTCAGGTGTAAGCGCTAAATTATAGGTACTGGTGCACCATTAGGCGACTGAAGAAAATGGCGCACCCAAAGGTCACGTGAAAAAAATCGTAGTGGGTTTCAGAAGTACGCTTGAATGAAGCCAAGGGATATGTGATCGATTGCCTAACTCACGTGCCTACCGATTAAGGATTCAAAAACCAGTGTCACTTAACTAGAGGAGAGGCCAATTAGCAACCTTCGCAATCAATAAGTGTCGGAACTATATAGGGTTATTCTTATAGTCTTATTTTTAAAAAGCATGTGCTTGGGTAGTGGGCACCCACGACAACGCTCGTCTCACGGGTCCGCTGGACCAGTGATGACCGAGGGTTTGATTTACAAGCGCAATCAAGTAAAAATCAGGCAGTAGAGTTGGTTTGTCCGACCGCCTGAGTTGAAAAGAGTCGAGTTGCACTTGGGAACCGTTTAATTAGACAGCGAACCACGTCGGTATGATACAATGGATGCGATGAAATGTGGATATAGAGTTCGACTCGGTGGTTGGATGGACCGAACAATCAGAACGATCAGTTTGGTCAGTCAGCCGATACACGCTGAAACAGAAGCATACCTCAATATCGTGAACATGGTTCTAACTGAAATATGAGGCGGCCTCTGTACAGCCCATTCAGTTGGAGAATATTATAAACAAGAGATTCGGATGGATTTTATCTGAGTCTCCCGTCAACATCAACTAAATTTTTAGGTGAGTGCTAAGGTCGATAAAATGAGCTCAGTCGGCTTCATTGAACCTAACGACTTTGCGTCCGTTATCTAATAGATGTCGTAGGTTTTTTTGTTGAGCCTTGTGATTTGACTGAAGCCAAAGAAAGCGAAAGCACGTGGGGGGGGGGGGACAAGCCAGCTACACTAATAGTGCGGGCTATCGTTGGTCAGAGATAATTTGCTGGCGTTTCACTGGGACCCCTTACAGATGTGGTCACCAGTACGAAATTTTCGTGTGCTCGCGTTTCTAGCTTTTGCGCAAAGTTATCAGTGCAACCCTCATCTTCACTAGCGGGCCACGATTGCAGTTTAAAAAAATAGGTTGAAAAAGTTCGAAACAGTTGACAGGAGAGGGGCATGAGATGGCCGTAACTGCTCCGAACACCACCGGAATCCGTTCTTATCAACATCTTGCACCGTCGCCAGCCAAGTACTGAGACTGCATCCTTCAGAAGGATCGTACCAGTAACTTCAAAATACTACGAAATCAACAAATCATACGTTGTCACAGTCTTCCCTAGTCTGGAGGACGTAAGAAAAGGAGCTTTTGCCTCGGCAAACGATGTAACATGAATGTAGACGAAACACAGACTACTTAGAGGCAAACCAATGAAATTTCTTTTGTTTTTTAATGAAGTAGTAAAGGGCGATGACCTGAAATCTACAGACAACCCAAGAAATGGCTTAATTTAAAAACTTCACCGAATATCTATCCAACGGGACCTCGAGACAGCCTTTGTGCCACACACCGTGCGAAAGAGCATCGATGTACCAGTGAACACGGGGGACTTCAACGAGTTTCCACCTCAGACGATCCCGTCAAGCAGATGAGCTGAAGAGTAAGCACTCGACCGAATTGCCGTTCAAGTCAAAGCTTTCGGTGACCATGTCTTCCTGGTGAATAGCCTCCAAACAGAGTGAAATCAGTAGTAGGCTGTCTGTGGATTTTGAGCAATCATCACATCCTACTATAATTAGAACAATAATTTTGGAAAAAATAATAACCCTTGGATCTTATTCTCTCGTACCATCAGGAATGTACTTAGAAGCTCGTCACTGAGCTGTCCACAATCCCCACCTGGTTTGGTCCACCTATCAAGGTGATGTATCCCGGTTGCGGCTACGGCCGCACAACGGGCAGATGGGAATTGAGGATAGCTGAACTACCCGCAGGGACGCGAAAAATCTGTCAGCCAGGAGCATTACCAATCCATGATAGTTCCTTCTTGTTTCATTCCTGGGGCGAGAAAAAAAACAGATTTTTTCAGTTCCGTTCAGTTCACTTAGACAGAGCACCTTTGGGCTTGCGTGCAAACGAGACACTAGTTGACAAGGTTGAGTTTTCTGCCCAAAATAAACAACCGAGGGTTTCCACTGACAACAAGGCCCGGCGAATAGGATGTAGGCAAAAGAATGGCTTACCTGGAGCACACTAAGGAGCTGGTATGCCAATTGCTCTTGACGCAAGTCATCACCAACTTTAACAATAGCAGCAGTCAATCGCCAACCAGGCAGAGATCCCCACGGAGACAACTCACGGATGCGTTGGCACTTCATATGCCACGGCTCTTTTAGAACAGCAGCACTGGGGTCCTCAGGATCAGACTGTAAAGGTGACACGGAAAAACAAGGGGGTTAATAAGAGTGGGGAGATGAAACCACACCCATTAGTTCATTTGACACGACGCGCTGGAACATGATATATGAATTGATGGGATGGATTGTTTGGCCTCTCAAAGGCTTCTATGCGTCTTGCTCAAGTGGACGAGTGAGCATACAGACAGCACGAACGCCACTGACATCGATTAATTACTATTTCTTGCAACGTCTTCAGCCAAGCACAGATGGGGTCACGGGGACCCCATCCTGGAAGTCACACAACACCAACAACATCCAAACTCTTCGTGATATCTTTGACACCTTTCTACCAAGTCATGTGCTGTCCACCTCGCGGTTTGCGCCATCCTGAAGGAGGCATGGAGAACAACACTCGTCTCGGTAGACGGTGCTTCGGCATGCGTAACACATGACTGAGCCATCGTAGTCGAAGATGCTGGGTGTTTTCTCGGATTGAGGTGCCTGCAGCACAACCCAAATACCCGTTTCTAATCACCTCTTGCAGTTCTAGCAACATGGATTGGGCAGATTCCGTGTTCTAAACTATCAGATTAATCCCAGTGATTCGGATGGGTTATCGATGAGCAGTGTTCAATTAAGACGTTGAAACATGCAACATGCAGATAAATTAACCGTAGTTGTGTAAGTGATTCGGTCAGAAACCGGATAAAACGCTGAGAATTTCTCAAGAAAGAGCATCGAGTCGTTGACTATTTTGTGAGACGACAGTTTTACTACTTTGTTTCTGATGAAAAAGAGACATGCACGACTGCTGGTGATGTGAATAAATTGGGTGGCCTTGTCATGTAAGTGAAGCCAGTTTATCCTGAAAAGCCGCGAAGCACTGCATAGTGGATCCATCCTTATTGGGAATAATCTGTAATGCACGGTTCACGTAACTCCAGGGAATTTCGAACCAGGGACTCTCCGGGCTAGTTGTTTGAACACCTAGAGGTTCGGCGACGAGCGGCTGATCACCAGTGTGGCACTACCACTCGTGGCCGGAAGTTTAAGTGTTCAAACTACTAGCCGGAAGGTCGTAGATTAGAAACGGCCCCGAGTTTCGTGAGATGTACACTGCTGATAATTTCAGATAAAGATGGGACAGCTGTACAGTGCATATCAGCTTAGATTGGCTTCATTTACAGGACGAAACCTCAGTTGATAAACAAATGTCTCATCTGGAGAGAGCTATTGAAGATGGCCTTTTTAGGGGGCAGTAACTGTTGAATAAAGTTCCGAGAGACAAAAGTGGAAGCAGTTTCTTTTACGGGGTGCTTTTTACGTCTTTCGAGGAAGCTGTTCAACAGATAGTACATTCTCGTATACACCTGATGTGTGCACATTGTAAAAGCCATTCGCAGCGCGCGCTGCAGGTGAGATCATTAACCTGCTTGAGATGGGGTGATATATGAGCAAGCGATCAGATCACAGCCGTGACATGATAGTCGAACTAGTTTTCGGCCATCTACGGACAAAACATATGTAAAGCTTGGTGTTAGTAAGCGAATAACATAGTTCCTAAAGAGACATAACAATGAGATTAAGGTCATACATATAGACTTGTGGTTCAGTTTTCGATGAGCCGTATTCTACGAGTATGATGTAGCGTGAGTTCCCAACGTAACAGTCGAGTGACTTAGTCGCTCGTATAGTAAAATCAACATCTGACAGTTGAATGTATCATCAGGTTAATCGCTTTTGTTGTCTGTTTTTGAACGTACATAGAAAAAGGATGATACAATCACTTGCTTAAAAGGAAAGATACCACTGAATGCAATTCATGAAAGATAAATTGGGCTGTAACAGCTGATCTATCCCAGAATATGCCCAACGAGGTTCGGCCCTCAAAATTTGATCAGTAAGAATGGATTATTTCATTGGTTAGGCGACGCCAGGTTGAGCACATTCACTGTAGCCACGGCCTGACATTTAGCCTCATTTGTAGCTTGTCAGTTCTAGACAGCCTCCCCAGTTTAAGAAACACAATCTCAGTTGGGTTTGGTAAATTCAATCTACCAATCTGCATCACCGTATCAATAGCAGACTGCGGCGTGTAGCCGGAACTTAGGTCGAATAACCGCCTATTTGCTTTAACTAAACCAGTGAGCAAATGTATCTCATGAGGTTTTTTCATACCAAGGGTGACACGGACGGTTCCTAGTTGCATTCTTGAGGAATCATATTAATGGGATTCTAAACGTCCTTTCCGACGACTCGAAGAACAGGTTGGCGGTTTGTTAGCTACCCTAAACGGAATCAAAGTATTGAGAAGCCAGTGGAAATCAATACTGTTAAAAACAACCACAGAAGACGGACTCTGAGTGTAAAACCACAGGAACACCCGGTAAGTACAGGCGAATACCTTGAAAGATCGAAGAGGTTGGTGTTCGGCTTGTTCTTTGAGACGACTACGAATATCACCGGCAGCCACGTACAGTGGAGTCTTTTGGGCAGTCATTGTTGATTCAAATGGATCTGTTTCCGCACTGCCAGTACGAGAATGGCTGTCCGGGTGACCGACTGCTACTGCTGAGATATGGTCACCCATGTGGGAACATCGATCTTCTGCTGAATTGCTAGATTCTGACGACACGAGGCTCAGGGCATCCGGCGCGGCGATGGCGCTGACAGCACTAGCAGAAGAAGGCTGGAAAGAGAACGGAATTCAAGAAGATAAAGACAAACTACCGAAAGCCGAATTAGTTAATGAGAAGACGTTGAAGAGCACAGAGTCACCAGTGCTATTGGCGACTGCACAAAGAATGTACTGCGACCAGAGATAATTCTTGTCAAGTTGCCGGCAACAGCATTGCAGCAAAACCTTCATAGCTCACGAGGACAGACGGCAGCTTAGATCCACTATCTGGTGCTCCACCCTACATAGCATACAATATAAGTGGATAAGTACAAAGTACTCATGGTAGGTTCCTGCCATCGGGAACATAAGAAGCGAGTGACCTGAATTGTACATTCTCCTATTCGCACAATCAGTGCACGGATGAAAGTGACCTGAACAATCCACAGTCAAACACACTGGTGTACCCAGAAATGTGATAAAACGAGGCTACGTGTGTCGACGCACACACACACACACACACACACACACACACACACACACACACACACACACACACACACACACACACACACACACACACACACACACACACACACACATCGAATCCGACGGCTCAATCGATTCAGCTCTTGTTAGATCAACATGCACTTTGGACAGGAACTGGTTGAGTCTACCTGTCTGTTTTAGATAAATCAATAGGTGATGAAAATGAGAAGTACGAAACAGGACGCAAGGAGCTGATGCAATCAGAGATGTAATCAACTCCATCTTATCCATGAGATGTGTGCAGTGAACCGGAGATGAATTGATCATAAGCAAGCCACGGAAATTCCTGTCCAGTGGTTTGAATGAAGATGGAAGACTGACAGCATTGCCACTTGAGTGATGGCATTGCCTTACCAAATCATACAAAGAACAGAACCTTTAACGATTGGAAACCGGTGCCATCAGATCTCAGTAGCGTGGATGAAGCACCTGCGAACCGGTAACAGAAATCGTTGAACGAGATAAGCACCTCGGTGTGGTGATCAGTGACAAACTGCTAACGTTGTGGTACTCGACTGAAGTCAACCATTAAAAGGTAGTTTTTTAATGAGACCAAATTCCACTATTGTACGGAGGCCAGCCGTCCCTAATAACCGAACACCACATTATTTGGACGGATGTGTCACGTGCGGGACACGGGCTGAACGAAGGCGTGCCCTGATTGGTTAGAATGTCAGCCAATCCGAGTCAAGCACCTTTGACTCGACGCTTCTCGCCCCCTCACGGAGATTCTGGCACGACCTTGTGGAACACTCTGTGACTACTCTATAAATACAGTTGTAATAATTTTCCTTGGTCTCCATAAAGGGGCTGTGCCTTTTGATACACCATAGTGAGCGAAGCAGTATGCAACATGCACATCAAATTGGTTTTAATGACAATCTCAGCTGAACCTGCCGTTTATGACGTCTTCCAACCAACTGTACAGCCGTGACACCCTTCCGGTGCCTAACTTCCATGCTACCCGAAGGAAGCACGAGGGCTGGGATACTGCCAGGTTGCCCAAGCGTAGACAGGGGAAGTCGAAAGGCAGAGGTAGGGTTCGAACCACGGACCTTCCGGTCAGTAAAGTCGCGCTCTAACCATTTGGGCCACCTTGCCCCCCCCCAACTGACTGTGTCGAACACGGACTATTGATACTTACTCAATAAACACCGACAACAACAACGCGCACCATGGGGACATACTAAGTCGACTTTTGCCAACGGAGAATGTTGTTGTACCGGTCCTGTGAGTCACATGACAGCAAAATGACATTCACCATTCCCGATATCGGCTACAAGAGTTTGGGGTTACTCTAAAAATCACCTGTAAATCGCGAGTAACAACCCATTGACAACCAGAAAGAAAGCGTACAGCTGTAGCACCCTTCCGGTGCCTAGCTGCCATGCCACCCGAAGGAAGCACGAGGGCTGAAATACTGTCAGGTTGCCCAAGCCTAGACAGGGGAAGTCGAGTGGCGGAGGTCGGATTCGAACCACGGACCTTCCGGTCAGTGAATTCGGGCTCTAACCACTTGGGCCATCTCGCCCCATTGACAACCAACAATCGAATGAATGTTTCGTGACGACCTATTTTATAAGAAAGTGAAACCCCATCCTATTGTAGAGGTCAAAATACCATGTATTAGGCTTTGTGAGTAAGGAATAAGATATATGATCCTTAGGTTGTGCACAACCACTAACCCACCGCTACGTACCACTATGCTCCCCAATAACGCAATGATGACGTCACCTCATCATCATCCATCATCATTGTCAGCTGTAATAATCGCGTACTCGTCGCAGTGGTTGTGGCTACGGCAGTTTCGTTCACCAATGATTTCGGGGTAGGTAGCTGCGCGTTGCAGGTGGGAGCTGATAAATTGGTGCAAAAATCTAGCACTGTTAGTGGGCTGTCAAGTGGGGGGATTGGGAAGGGAGCTATGCATTGAAGACAATAGCTTGGATGCACGAGCGCCATTGAGGGCGCGACTGGGCCATGTCTGACAATGTCTCTAACCGTTGATGTGGCCCGTATCCGAGTCCCCATCCACGAAGACGGCAATGACCAGCGCAGCTGAGTTTGCTGGTAATGGCCTTCACAGTTCGCTGCCAAGTCATTGTTTGACCGCTTCTGGCTCTCTTCCACTCTTCACGTGGTTGTGCGAAAAGAGCCGTTTGAGGAATTCGGTCGACTGGCATACGCAGCACGTGGCCGAGCCAGCGCAACCTGTGCATTGCGATCAGTTCATCAATCGAGGATGAGTTATTTCTCCCGAATACCATTCGACGTACTTCAGAATTGCTGATCCGGTGTTCCCACCAGATTCGGACAATGCTCCGAAAATGTCGGTGGTCAAACACTGAAAGTCTTTTGACGTCCTCAGCGCGCAGCGGTCAGGTTTCTGATCCATAAAGTAATATGGAGCGCACCGCAGCATTGTAAACTTGACGGTTATGCTGATGTCACGCCTATGCCACAGGTGACATGGTTTCACAAAACCTGCGCTGACCTTCCAAATCCGGACGAAAATATCATCCTTCGCGAGAGCACCGGGACTGATACAGCTGCCCAGGTGAACAAATCTGTCTACTCACCTCAATTGCTGATCAAAACGTTTGCAATCAAACTGCCCAGCTCAGCGAACAAACCAACGACCATCTACGCTACCTGAAATACCAGAATACGTAAGGGCTATGTTCGAACCCGACGAAGACAATGCAACCCACCCAATTGTTTGAAAGATTAATTTTCCGCAATCATTTCTGCTGCTAGCTCATACGAAGCCAGGCGTTAGCCATTCATCTAGAACCTTCCGTTGAGTCTTAACACTCTCAAAGACTTTTACTGCATAGGATTGCCATGATTCTTGCAACGTGCTGTGCTGATTCACCCTTACTTGTAACTGATCATCAGCTGAGTTGTGCTTCATCCGATTAGCCCCAACTTATCACTCCGGGACAGGCGTCCACTCTTACAGAAGGGTTAATCACAACGGACACAGTTTTCGCCCATGGAGGTCCAGACGTATTCAACTCTTAACCGATGCATCGTTTGATTCAACCATTTGGGGCCGCCTTGAGTAACAGAAGCACGCTCACCTTGTCAGACGCGCGATGACGAAAGCATACACTGTATGACACAACATCAATGACCAATGAAAACAAAGAGGTAAGCGCGACAGCGAAGGTAGACCTCATAAGCCCGTGACGGGGGGAGAGAGAGATCGGTATTCGGACGCGAATCGGATGAATTTCCTGTCATGGACTATGTTATGTCCCGAGGGTGGCTTTTGAGCCTACAGAAAGGCACACTTCGAATTCTACCTTCGAAATGACTTACGATCATAAATAAATCTATGCATCGGTCGTTGGAAGCTAGACAAGGGGGTAGGTAGCTAGCTTGGCAAATTTTTTGTCAGGACTGGCGCACGAATCGCAGCGAGAACTTTCGCAATAGGTCGGAAATTTCCTCAAGGATTAATATCCTCAAGAAAATACTAAACTCACAAACGGTGATGGTAGTTTTGAGACGTGGAGGTCCACGGAAGGATCGGTCTACTACTGAAACGAAGAAAGCCCTTGCTGCGGAGTTATTTGTTAGAAAATGCCAACCAAACAGTTACAGACTATTGGACAGGGAAGCGAAACTCTCATATGCATCTTGTTGACAAAAACAGAATATCCATCCTCTCTTTGAACGCGTCCTCCTGAACGTTTCTGGATATTCATTGACTGTTGCTCAAATCCAAGCAAATGCTAAAAAGCGACTCCACAAATTACGTAATAGATCTCACTTTTCAAGAGACGCGAAGCGGATTTACAAGAAAAAATACTACTCGCATGCCTCCCTCATCAGTAGTATCACCGTTACACTACATTCGAATCGAAGTCCGGACCTTTTGCCCCCAGTCCGTTTACCACTAGGAGTTACAGCTTCTTATATTTTTGACCTCTCAACAAATCAGGTGTTGCGCGAAAGTGCAGTCTTCAGCATCGGTGGAATTAGTTTATCCTTCTGAAGGAGTCAATCAGGCCGACAAACCAACATCGAGTAGACACTGACAGAACAAAGATTACTGGACTGGGTTGCAAATTCGTTTGGGAGTTGACAAATGGGAGGACAAACAATCTGTGGTTCAACCGCAGCAGAGCTGTCCAGTGAAATCAGTCAGGAAACGTGAATCTGTGCAACCTAATTCATATCCGAGTTTAATTGCTGCTCTGCTGAACAGTCAAGTCACCGGTCAGTTGCAAAATATGTGGAACAGAGAACGGAAAATGGGTGCTGAGCGACAGACAGCTGAGCTCTCTACAAACCTATGGGAATGTAATTCACCACCCGGAAGCCCTGATTAAGGTTGCCGGTCTGCCTCTTTCATTGTCCACTGTCCACTTGGACGCAGTTGGCTGGCTACATCATGCACCCTGTACCATAGCACAAGAGACGGTGAAACAGATTGGTGCACATTGGTCCTCTAGAGGGCAACCTACTCAGTTAAATCCGGTATGGGCTACTGACGGAGCCGTCTAGGAGAACAGGACAAACTTTACCAGAGGCCCCGTTCTCTTACTGTTCGTTTGTGTCCCATCACAAAAACCGACGATGAACGACTGCCAAGTTGGGAGTCTGTTTATTTTCTGGAATTTGGCCTTCTGATATCACCCAACTCTGACCACCGCCCAGGTAAGTGAGTCAATGCCGAGGTCCTCGGCTGTCTCCTATTTAGTAGAAGTGCACCACTAAGTTGATCGAGGGTAGAGGTACTCCAAAGGTTTGATCTCACACCACTTAGAATAACTAAAAACAGAATAAAAGAGCCAGAACATAAGATAAAATTGGTTTGAAAAAGGCAACAGCCAGAAGGAACGGCTGCGGGCTGGCAAATAGAGTATTGTTATCGGAGGGCTGATCATAGTTAGGAGTGTTCACTTCTAAAGCAGCGGGTCTGTTTATAACAATGCGCGTCACGTGTTAAACAAACTAGCCGATCGTTGTCTTGGCAACACAGCTGACAGGCAGCGTTATCAACAGGAGACGTAAAGTATAAGTCAATACTGGGTTTGACAAAGGTGGGCTAGCGGAAATGTAATAAGGTGAGCAACGTGAGAAGGTTGACCATCAGAGGCAGCTTGCCCAGTAGAGAATAGACCGGAAAACTGTGGATGGACGAACAATCCAACTTCGAGTTCAGTTTTCAAGCGGTTCCAAAAAGCCTCCATTCCCGAGAATGAATATTCAATAGCTCTGAACGAAATCCAAAGAACTGCACATAGTATGGTGAAACGGAAGCGCGTTGGTGTTGACCGTCAACTTGTCAGCACTTCTTGGGAAACGCGGAGAACTGATGAACCCTGGTTGGAGCTGGGGCGTTAACTTACCGACAGGAAGATCTGTGGTTCGAATTCAACCTCGGCATTTTGACTGCTCCTGTCTATAGATATAAGCGACAGTAATTTGACCGCCTTATCCTCTCCCCAATAAACCAACTCACGTCAAACCACGAACTTTGCTCCCGATTAGTGTCCGAAATCTTTTCGATCGCTGTTCGATTGCAGTTGCCTCCGTGGCGTAATTTCGGTTAGAGCTGGGGACGCGTATAATCGTCACGGGTTGTCCATTATGGTACTGTTCCAGCACTCGAGGTGGCTTTATCCGATGCGTCCATTTTCAACTTGAATGAAATTCCAATAACCATGGAAGCTAGTGCTTGGTCGCCAACTTGTTGGCCGGAAGGTCTGACTGCTTCTGTCTACGGTTAGGCAACTTGGAAGCATCTCGGCTTTTGTGCCTCCTTCGGGTGGGATGGCAGCTAGGCACCGCATTGGTGTTACAGCTGGACCATTTATTTAAGACTTCGGTATTGGAGTGCGTGAGGTGACAACTCTTTCCGGCTAATTGCTACACCCTTGGATGTGACGATCCGCAGGAGGCAGTAGCAAACAATCAACGTGTTAGCGAGCTTTCTCAGGGCAGTTAGCAGTTACTTTAGACAATTACAAGCTAAATAAAATAAGAAGGGTCCGAGTGGTGGAACTTTCCTGTTGCCTTTAGGAGCTTTCAATCAATGGAACTATCCCATCCTACCAAAGTGTTTATATGGGAAGAGAGTTCAAGGTACTCTCCCGATCGGTGGAATGAAGACACCAGACAAAAAAACCTTGTACTGTAGTTCGTTAGCCAATCCACTGCGTCCTCTGGTCTTTTTTCAGTACCAACCAAACATGGAACCCCATATATCCGAGGTTTCGTCCAAGTACAGCTAGCCGCCTGTAAATATCAAAAAAGGTTAGCTCTCCAGAGGATACTATGTACACGCCATTTCCAATTATAGGGATTCTTGGGTGCACTCCGGAATATAAAATCGTCATCGAGACTGAACTCACCGTGCTGGAATTCCACGGAAACTGAGACAGCGATGTGAGAGAGGTGGCTCCAGTTGGAAAGGAAGAGGGGCCGCATAGGCGCATGTGACAACTTGAAGGTCTTGACGGAAGAGGGTCTGACCAAGGGTCCCTGCATGGCAATACTTCCAAATAAATCAAGTAAGGTGCCTGAAAAAAAAACAATAATTGGACAGGAAAATGCTCAGGTTACATTGGACGTGTCAAAACGTAGCATAGCAACTAGCGTGGGTAAGGTGGAACATTGGGTGGAAAAGTAGGTTCTTATCGAAAGATTCAGCGGTCCATAGGTCCAGCAAGAACTGAAGCTTCATCATAAACAACATAAACATCAACAGGGGGGAATAAAAGAGTATCCTGAGAACGCTTTATGGATATAACACACTGCATTCACGATGTGCTAACTAGATCTGTGTCAAACTAAACTCTTCTGCTGCGCTTCCCCATGTGTGTACTCTTGACCTGCTGCTTGAGGTGGCGATACAGGGTTAATCAAGTTGGCTTGAGTCGCGCTAGTGTGTTACCGGCAGCCATCAACGTAAAGTCAGATGGCAAATCGATAGTTTCAGGACACCATTAGAAGAATCGATAAAATCAATGTTGACGATCGCGAAAGCAAAGCATCAGGTCTGCTAAACGGTGCTACACATATAGAGTAAGATCGGTGCGGAACTTTTTCCAAGTTGAGGCGGCGCAAACTGTTCAACAAAGCTAACATGGGCGATAAACCTTACGACTTACAGTCTGGCGCGGTTACGAATTTCAGAAAATTAGCCTCCTCCTATCCAGTCAATATTCCCCAAAATTCTCTCTCCGAATCAACCTGAACACGATTGATTTTCTGCCCCCCAACAACGTATCCATGGGACCTGTCTAGTGACTTCTAATCCACTATAATCAACGTGTTTCGACTGGAACTCAGTATTGCTGAACTCTACTCAATTCCACGTTCTATCAAACGTCTTTAGTTCACTAGGGATCGGATTAAAAAACATTTAACTAGAACGGATCCCTACTTTACTATAGACATAACATACTACTCACAAGGTTGATGAAAACTCTTCGATAGCTCATCCTTCTTGAGCAGCTCCCCAATCTTCCTGTCCTTTCCTGGAATCTTATGTTCGACTTGAATCTAACTCAAACTGTTCAAGATCATGTAACGTATTCATATTCCACGACCCCATTTCGCCAACAGTACTCCCATTTTGATCAAGTTGAAATGCGGAAATCCAACAACAGACCGATCGGAATTAGTTTGAAACTCCTCCAACCTATCAGTGTAAGATTTTGGCAATCACACTAACCGGCAAGCGCCGTTAATTGACACTGATCTAGTGTGATAAGCTGGAGAGGCCTTACTGATTGGTTCTCCGCCTGCATCTAAACCTGGCCAACTTGGTGACCTGCTCATTTAGCCTCGTGAAACTTTTGTGTCAAAAGCAAAACGATGCCCAATTAAAAACTACCGATCGTTAACCAAGGTGTTCTGAAACAATTACTTCTGAATCGGTTCCAAACCTCTTCCAACAACAGACCATTCAGTGTCCAAAAGGCGATACAACATCGAACAAGGATGAGGTCGGTTCGATCGCATACCATATTCCATGGTTCCATAAGTTACTTCATGCACGCTTATCAGCACCTATTGTGCTAAGGATGGCCTGACAAATACACGCATTTGCAAATCAATTCAGTTTTCACGGGAGACTCAACCGAATTCCTCGTTTATGATATTCTCCGACTGAATGTGCTGCACAAAGGCCGCCTCATGATTCAGTTGGTGCGATATTCCAGATATCGCAGTATATTTTCATACGGGAAACTACTCACAAGGTTTCTGTCGAAGATTTCAGCAACCATGTGAGTGGCTTGCTTTAGGAAAAAAAGGCGGCCTGGCAACTTAATAACAAAGCAAATCGGATATTGATTCTTTGGAACAGGTTCTACAATCATATAGATCGTTCAGCTGTACCACCTTTCGGTGCCTAGCTGCCATGCGACACGAAGGGAGCACGAGGGCTGGGATACTGTCAGGATGCCCAAGCCTAGACAGGGGAAGTCAGGTGGCAGAGGTCGGGTTTGAACCACGGACCTTCCGGTCAGTAAATTCGTGCTCTAACCACTTGGTCCATCTCGCGCCCTCTACAATCATAGGGGGTTTGGTCGTACGCGCCAACCATAGCTGTCCATTGAATACGGTAGTCTACAAACAGGACTACTCAAAACTGCAGCCAGTATTAAAAAAAGCCGGAAATTAGATAGAACAACAACTTTCATCATACCTTGTCCTTGGAATTCAAACAAACTGCAGCCGTGGGTGGAATGCGAAGGACAATGTGATCAGCTTTGTTCACCGGGAGCCACACACGGGCTGGCAAATGTAGATTGAGGTTAGCAAGTTCCGCTTGAAGGTATGCCGCTGGGAAGGGGGCGAAGGAAGAAAAGGGGGCAGCATGAATACCAAAACGATTGATCAATACAAGTCTGCAATTGGTTTATCATTGTTTAGCGAATACTAGAATTTCATGTGCCACTTGAATCCCATTCGGAATACATTACAAACTGAGCAGAAGTGGTGGTGAGACTTCAGGACAGACCTTGGTGATGCTTGTTTGGCTTATTCCACATTCCGCCGATCACGCACGTATCCACAGAGAACTACCGTACTGAAAAATTACTTTTTGACGAAAACTTTCTCCAGGAGCGCCTGACTATGGGTAAACAAACAGCCTCGGCAAAAACCGAAGACAACCGATGATCGATTCAGTGTAGTGATAACAGATGGAACAGAGTATGCAGTTTAATAAATCACTAACTAAAACAAAGCCTATCGTTAGGCCATAGTAACAGAGAAATGACGTCACAGCTTGAGACAAATGGATCCACACATACTGGGAAAAGTGATTATGATCTTTTTGATTATTCATGATAGAGAATCCATGGTAAAATTGTGAACAGACGAGCGGGGTGATTTGCTGCCCAGAAGGCAGATGAATGAAGACATGTGAAAGTGGAAATTAAATTAACCGTATGGAATGTGGAAACAACTGTATGCATTAACATACAGTGAGGCAACGAGTTGATTACTGCCTCAGGCGTTGAGAGCTGGGCGGACGGAACATATGACACGGTATTCCGAACAGTTCCTGCGTAGTACTGTCATATAGGTGGAAAATAAACGAACATAAAATCCATCCATAATTACATCAGGAAATGAATAGAATACGCAGTTTCGTAACAGACACTGACTTTTGCATACCAGTATTTCTACCAAGGACTTTCTCTATACAAACTCCCTGTTCAATTGATAAAACGATAATAGTGAGCAGTGCGTCAGTCCAGAATGCAGTTATTCGGGCGAAAAATGGTAAAGGATAGCTGAAAAGAGTGACCAACCGAGTGGACAACAGTAGTCTGGGATAAAGCGCACCTGAGGACAAGAAACTGTGGGTACGAGGAAAGAAAACCCACAATTGATTCCCCGACAAGTTTATTACAAAGCATTCGAACAGGGAGGAAGCAAACACCATCACAGCCACAGCCAGAAGGAAACCAGTTTACATTAGCCTCTCGTTTAAGGGAGATATACCGGCCGATCTACTGAACAGAAGATTTTCCACCAGTCTGAACAAAGTTTTCCCGGCCGCAAAACTCCGAACCTGGTTCACCAGCAATCGTTTGTGCCCCTTTAATCTCAAGGATAGAGTGCCTGTCCACGCCCAAAATATGTTGGTTTACTCATTCTCTTGCTGCCGTGCAGCAGAATACATCGGACGCACGACTAGGCAACTCAGCCAAAGAATGAAGGAACACAATCCACCCTGGCTAGCTTCTGGAACCAGGAGGACGATAACCAGTTCCGTAGTACAACATTTAGCCGACACTGCACACAACGTGATACCCAGCCAAAGTTTCCGCGTTGTTTACAAGGCGCCGGCTAACCAACCCAGATCAGTACAGCAGCGCACAATTGCAGTGGCTGAAGCTATCGCCATACGACATCGCGACCCGATCCTTTGTCGGCAAAAACGCTTTGTTCGTGTGTTGTACTTACCATGGTCCAACTCCCCTCCCCTCACACATGCACCTTGTGCTGAACACACAACTACAGCACCCCCCGCGCTGACTAGCTCAGGTCATCCTATTGGTGACCTGAATTAATTGTTCTTTGATAGGTAGCCAATGTTGTCTCACTCGATTTCCTGTCCATTTACACCATACTCATCCAAATATGTTAAATACTGCTCTCTTAACCTTCGCAATTGTATGAATTGAAAAGACCTCGCCGAAAATATGTTCGTCAACCCATCTGTGTTCTTATTATAAATGGGAATTTCCGAAAACACACATTCTTGGAGGCATTTAGGACAATGAGTGGATTCGGGGGAGAGACTATCAGAAAAGTTCAAACTAGGACGATACGGACAGTCTTGGCGACATAGTTCGAAGAAAGTTACAAAGTGCGCGGGAAATAGGAAAAAAAAACCTGGAAGGGTTGGATGTCACAGCGTTTGCTACACCTCAAACGTGAATTTCACCGAGATTAGTGTTCGCAGTACTCATACTCTGCTCTATGAATGGCAGCGGAGTGACAGACACCGGTTTCAAAAGCGAATGAGTAGGGAACCATAGAAAAATACCGTTGGTACGAAACGAAAACAGGAGAGAAGAAAGAACGGGGAAGTGATGATCCTGTGGGTAGTAGAAATAACCTCAAAGAGATGCGCGCGTATCAGAAGCATACAACCCAAATGACTAATCCCCAATCTAGTTCATGTGCACGCGGTTTAGAGAGAACAATAAGTCATAACCGAGTAAGGGCCCGTGGGAAGCTCAAGATGGTTCAGAGGTTACGGCACGAACTTACTCATCGGAAGGTCTATGGTTCGAACCCAACCTCTTCAGCTCAACTGCTCTTGTCTGGGCTTGGGTAACCTGACAGTATCTCAGCCTTAGTGCTTCCTTCGGTTGGCATGACACCTACGCACCGAAAGGGTATTACAGTTGAGCCATTATTTGGTAGTATCATAAAAGTCTCAGGGAACTCGAGGGATACTACTATCTGGCATAACTTACCCATACCACAGGTGTTAGACGTATGCCGGAAAACCTGAAAGAGCGTTGGTGATCATTCAGTAGAACATTATTCTCTAGATCACGCAGAAACCTTGTGGCCAGTGAGGATTCTAAGACTAGAAAAAGTACTAGCGATGAAAATGGGGCCATAAGTGTTTGAGAATTGGGATAACGAGGTCAGTAGTTCCAATGAGATGATAATACTCTGGGAAAAAGGATCGATTAGAAAGGCAAGTCAGGTTGGAGGCCGGTTATGTGCCCATTTCCAGAAAGGAATATGGAGGCATCAAAAATACTGCGTGGAACGTTTTGGGGCCTGGTGACAAACGGAAAACAGAGACGACAGAAGGTGGAGGAACGTTTGGGGTTGTGAGCAAGGTGATTAACAAAAATATCGACTTCCTCGAGCGAATAGCATTGGGAAGGATCACATAGGTATCGGAATTGCAAGTGAAGAAGGGAGCGCGCGCACACTGGGTAGCACGGTTAAACTCAAGGGTAACGGCTGCCGGTAGAAACGTGTTAGTTGGTCAGTCTTACGACTGTCGGAATACACCTCCCTCCATTCTTGATATATGTGGAGAACTTGCATGCGGATGGGTAAACAGAACGTGTTGATGAAGCAGGACTCATCATTATCAACAGCTGTAAAAACCGTGTTTATAGCTATCACAGTTTCGTTCGCCGGTTATTTGAGAAAGTGGGGTAGATAGCTACACATTGGAGGTGTAAGGTGACGTAATTAGTGCGTAAATACAGGAGTGTCAGTGCACTTTTCATTGGGAAGCGTGGGAGGAGAGCTATGCACTGAAGATAACAACTTGGATGTACAAACGCTATCGAGAGTGAGCGAATGCTCAATGCTTGAAAATGTCTCTAATTATCGATGTGTCTTTCCTTAGGGTCCTCATTCAGGGAGAAGACAATGACGAACACGGTTGAGTTTGCCGATACTGACCCTCCTACTTCGCTGCCCAGACACTGTTTGACCTCCCCTGACTTATTTGCACCTTTCACGTGGTTGTGTGAAAACAGCTCTTCAAGAATATACGTAATGCATCACTCATAAAGTTGATGAAAATTCTTCGAAAGCTCACGACCGGTCTCATCAGGTAGGCGCGGTTCCCGAGTTTTTGTCAACCCTATGTTCTACTTGTACCCAAATTGCACGAACTCAGCGAAATACACGCATTTGCTCTTCGAGGAATTCCGTTCATTGCCAGCGCAACCTATGGATTGTGACAGGTTCATCTACCGTTAGTGGATTATTTCTTCCGAAAACCATTCGATGTACTTCAGTATTACTGATCCACCGCTCCCACCGTTCGAACCCAACCTCAGCATCTTAGAAAAATAAGATATGAACACGTGTGTCTCAGTAGTTGAAGCGCGAATTTACTGACCAGAAGGTCAGTGGTTCGAACCCGACATCTGCCTCTCGAGTTCTCCTGTCTCCGTGCTTCCTTCGGATTGCATGGCAGCTAGGCGCCGAAAGGGTGTTGCAGTTGAACGGTTTTTTTATATCTCATTGACAAACGTATCTGCGGTTCTCTCGGCAAAATTGGATGGGCTGTTCCAGAGAGAACGTTCTCAGTGATTTGAGCAAAAAATAAACACGCCAGGAAGACAGAAGACGTGGTTGGTAAAAGTAGGGTCAGGACAGGTGACCAAGTTAATAGGGTAAGGACAGGTGACCAAGTTAACGCGTGACGTAACACATGACCCAGCCACCTTAGCTTCCAGTACCGGATGTATTCTTTGAGTACCATTTACTTCCCTAAAAACCCGTTTCTCGATCATTTGGTTGCCAATCGCCGGTCGCAGATGATTCTAGCCTTAGATCTGAGACACTGGTGGTCAAAATTCTGAAGACGTCTCAGATTCTACACCCGAACCGTCAGTGCCGTACAACAATACAGCCAGCATCATAGTCTGAAACACGCGTCCTTTGAGACCCAGTGAGACGTCTTTTTGAAGTTACAATTGGTATAAAGTGGCAAACGCAGTTATGGCCTTTGAGATTTGTACGACCGCTTTGTACAACCCTCATATCCAATGCAACTTTCGACGTACCTATGATGTACTACAACTTCCAGTGTTCATAGGCTGTACGTCCTTGAGTATGACTTTCAACTTTGTGGGTATGAAGAAAATGTCGAAGGACTGGGAGATCTTATAGCTTTTCACGCGTTTTTTTTGCTTTCTTTTCAAAAATGTCGTCCGTACATTCCACGTTTGGAAACATCGGAACATCCGGTTCTTGGAGCGATTACGGTTTTCGCTTCATTACTTCATCATTAATGAAAGTTTTTTTTTTAAACGAAGAGAGTAGGCATCCTTGTCGGGCACCAATCCTCGCGCCCACGGGGCACACCCTGTTGCGCAAGTGTGTTGAGGACTGAATCGAAAGCAATCTCAAAGTAAAGGAACACCGAGATTGTAGGGGACCTACACGCAGGCCGTTACTCAAACACTTAACAGAGTGTGAAGATATGGTTCATACAGTCCCTTTCCCGGGCTGGAACCCTACTTGCTATTCTGAAGAAGAACCAAAGCGTTCAGCTGTAGCACCCTTCCGGTGCCTAGCTGCCATGCCACCTGAAGGAAGCACGAGGGCTGGGATACTGCCAGGTTGCCCAAACCTAGACAGGGGAAGTCGAGTGGCGGGGGTCGGATTCGAACCACGAACCTTCTGGTCAGTAAATTCGCGCTCTAACCACTTGGGCCATCTCGCCCCCAATGAGCGCAGCAACAGAGAATGAGCCATAAAAAACACCGGGGCCTCGGAACGACAAAACTTACTGCGTTGCTCTTTCGAGCTGATTGGAATCAAACGCCTGGCAAGTCTGAGTAGTCCGTCCATGAAGTCCCACTCTGGAACTAACCGAGGGACTAGCTGGAGTTGTAGGCTGATCGTCGGGTCCAGTGGACAACCTGTGTCAAGATATGCTTGTTGACCAGCTGCTTGGGGCTCGACAGTCAGTTTGTCATCGGAAAGAGGGCGCGACGAATCCGTAATAACCAACTGCAACCCACTGTCAGGAGGACTCATTGAGGATGACGTATTCATACCGACATCGTGAGAAGCCGAAGGGTCACTAACTGGATGATTACTGGGGATGTGGTTACGGGAGGGAGCCGACCGTTTTAGGCCACGTAAGTTTGTATCGTCTGATGCGGTAGGTACGTCTGCCAAGCTCAATCGTTGCAAACTGTGGACAGCGCGTAGTTCAAAACCAGACGGTTCCTTGGTGATTATCTGAAAGATGTCACAAAATAAAAGGAAAGCCTAATAAACGCGGGAATAAATTTGACAGTGATCAGATAGAAGTGCGTGGTGGAAACTCCGGGATTGTGTCTACCTGATGAGCCCAAAGAAGGGTGCGAATCGGACGTGGGCTGCCGACAGAGCAGTGTGTTCCGTCTGTAGATTATCTGTAAGGACGTTGATGAGAGGGTTACGGCTCAGCTCCGTTTAGTTTCTACAAGTTATGTTGTGACGAAAGCTCATTCGGTGCATCAGAATGCTCGTATAAATTGAAAAGCTGATTGGTGGTAGCTACTACAAGCTGAGCGCTCTAGAACAGCTGACTTCTTGGACAACAGCCCATGCAGTGGTGCCCGTTGTGATGTTTTTTTCAGCTTACTTGTTATTTGCAACCGGTTTAACTGAGAAGGAAGTCCTTTGTATTAGACATTTCCCTAATGTCGACGTCATACGTAGCTCACGTTGACATCAGTGGAATCGGACCAACGTCAATTGCTAACTGTTTGGTCGTTATCCGTTGTACCTGATCCATTTAGAAGATGCAGACTGCGTCGACTGGTGCTTGCTACGTCCTCTCTAGTATTTCACTTCAGACTGGTGTCCTATCCTGTTACCTGTAATGTGTCGCGTACCGGTGCTCAGGAGAATGTCCGGTATGTAGGTAAGTAAACCAAGTTAGACAGACACGTGGGAGTGATGATCAAATAAAGTTTCGAAAGATATAGGAATGAGTATGTTTGTCTGAACAAAAACCGATGTCTTGTTTGCGGATACCAGCTGAATACAACAAAATGATTTTAAAACTTGTTTTCTCTACACGTTTCTGATGAACTTTGTACCGTAACGAACTACTTATTTATTCACAAGGATTGAAATTGAGATGAGTGGGGTTTCGGCACAGACAAGATTGAGAGTTGTGAGAAAGTGAACAAGTAGTTGTGAATCCACTCTCTTTACAAGTCACACTGGGCGAGGTGGTTCAGTGGTTAGGGCGCCAGCTTACAGACCGGAAGATCCGTGGTTCGAACCCAACCTCAGCATCTCGACTGCTCCTGTCCAGGATTGGGCAACCTGTCAGTATCCCTGCCCCACCGTGCTTCCTTCTGGTGTGATGGTAGCTAGGCTGAACGATCTACTTTTGTTTTGTTCCTGCCAAACACAGATGCACTGCGGTCAGGTTTTTGTGCGAGAGGCTTTGGATGGGAGCCCTAAGTGCCGTCCTGTCTTGGCAGTATCTCAGCCCACGTATATCCATGAATTGCACACACACAAATAATCTCGCTCCACATCAGCCGTCGCGTAGTACCATCAGCTCAGTGGTTAGGGCGCCGGCTTTCGGACCAGAAGATCCGTGATTCGAACCCGACCTCGGCCTCTCGACTTCCCCGCTGTAGGCTTGGGCAACCTGACAGTATCCCGGCCCTCGTGCTTCCTTCGGGTGACATGACAGTGAGGCACCAAAAGGGTGCTGCAGCTGAAACTATTATTTACTACTTTATAAGTCAGACCAGTCGACTGTAATACACCAGTACAACTGTTTAGAGGGTTACGGTTACGAACCTCTGCACACAATATGTATGATGACTATGATGGTTTCAAACGAGGATGAATCAGTAGTACTGTCGTTCAGCTGTAGCACCCTTCCGGTGCCTAACTGCCATGTTACCCGAAGGTCACACGAGGGCTGGGATACTCCCAGGTTACCCAAGCCTAGACAGGAGAAGTCGAGAGGTAGAGGTCGGGTTCGAACCAGACCTCTCCATCAGTAAACTTGCGCTCTAACCACTTGAGCCATCTCGCCTCCGACATGACCCCAAGTCCCTATTAGATAAACTTGAAGCTCAAATGTCCTGCGAAAATCGGTACATCGTCCTCCTTACGACATAGTGGATTAGATGAGAGGATTCAGACCCGCCTTGATCGAGTATGTGCAATGGAACATCAAACTTCGGATTGCTCTGGTTATAGGTAATCCGTCCAGCTACCACTGTGGAGACGATGAAACTGCTACGTGAAGAGTGGACCTTACCGTGGTGTGGCGGTTTGTGTACTTCGGCGATCCATTGAGCTATACGGGGGAGCGTATGCACGATGCTCACAGAGTCTCTCATACCAGGTTGGTCCATGTGTAGAGGTCTGACGAACACAGTCTCCTGGCCCTCCAGATTGGGGTTTGGAACATGTATGGCGACGTGTTCCGTAGAAAATGGTAATATACTTGCATTTCCAGTCAAACACCGCTGACTTGCGGTTAGGCTTTTGAGTCAAACACTTTGGTTGAGGACCCTAATCGTCCTCCCGTCCAGGTCTGGGTGCCCTGGTAAGAAATGGCAGCTAATCGATGTCAGTGGCATTCGTGCTGCCAGTTTCTTTCCAGATTGTCTGATTGAGCGGTTGGAGGTGTGGGCACCTCAGAATGCTTGGCATAGACCAGCACTAGGTCCCCTCCCCCACCCACTCTTTTTATCTTCTTTTTTATTGTGGGGCTTTCTTTGATGATGATGAAGATGAAACAAGAAACGGAATCCGTATTCTCACTCAAACCAAGATTAAACAGACCACGTGGAAACACCGCTAGGTGGAATTCATACAATCGTATCCCTTGAACGACATGACCTACAGATTCATGTACACGCTACCCCAACATCATCATCATCGACAGCATGACATCATGCTTCGTTCTTCCTGTGACACATCTTCAGATTTGCCCACCGATTGCAAAAACTCCAGGAACAATAACTATTTTTATCTTGACGGACCGAAACGATAGTATTCGCACATGTAAAGGTCACCAGCACAAACACAGCGCAGAATCCAATTAACTACCAGATCGAGTTGACGTCGTGAGAGGATTAGTGAATTAGCAAATGACTCGTCCTGATTTCTGGTCACCATCATCATCATCGACAGCATGACACCAGTGTTCAAAACCGATGCTTCACTGCCGTATCTTGATTTCTAGGGAAAGTCTTGTTATCTTCTGGTCACCGGTTCGATTGTCAGCGGATCAGAGGCAAACAAGCCTTACCGTGTGGGGTTCAGCTGTGGTAAATATGCTATAAGCCACACTAGGCAATTCAAACTTATCGGCAGGCTAGGAACCGAGTGAACACAAACCACCCTCGTATGGACATAATACACTACTCATAAGGTTGCTGAAAATTCTTCGACAGCGCAAGACCGGTTTCGCCCCCCTTGGGGCTCATCAGGTCGGCGCAGTCCCCGAATTTCCGTCAACCTTATGTTCTACTTCAAACCAAATTGGCAGACCAACCTTGTTCACGCTGAAACACGAGCCGGTGATGCCAAATGTCCGATCTTGTGTACAGGCATGCCGAGAATGGACAGACCAATCTCCGTTCAGACGATGCGGCATCGAGTTGGGCAAATCCTGTTCATTCTCCAAGTCGTGCGATAAACCGACCGCAGAGTCTTCCGACGACCAACGGTCCGATGTATGAACACGTTCGTTCGCAATCGCACCCTCAGCAGTGGCGGAAATCACATTTGATTGTTGGGTCCTGGCCGTGTGGAGTCGGGCTCCGTGGGAATCAGGATGGGAAGCTAGAACTGAAAGAGCAGGGAAAATCAACAGGACAGTGGTATAATCCCACCCCAATTCGGTCAACAAGCAACAGTCAGCTGGTCGGGTTAGCGTGGCTGTGAGGGACAGAACATTTCTGACAAGAATTGCCGGTACATCAAACCGGAAGGCTTGAAATGAAGCAACTAAGTTGACGCGTTAAACTACTCACCGAGTCGAGTTACGATCTTGAAGAATCTATCATAAACTGCCAAAAACAAAGTCCACACTTCAATACTACTCATAAGGTCGATGAAATGTGTCGACAGTCCACGATTGATGTCGCCCTTAATCAGGACGCAAAAATATTAAGTGGTGTCGACAAAACGAGAAGTAGTTCGGATTGGAACCGAACTGTAAGTTCCTGTTTAGGAGATGTGTGTTCCAAAACCTTGCGTTAGTAACATGAAAAACGGCCTAATCCAAACCCAACATTTCAGTACTGTACCAATACATTCTACTGTAATGTTGTTACAAGCGGCTCTCGAAGTTAGGGTCCATCGTTCCTTGCACGCAACAATTTTGTGTACTGAAATACAGGTTCTGTGAAAGGCCAATCACAGTTGGAACATAAAAGCGGTAAATGCGCACCTATGGACAAGTAACAATGCACCGAAACACAGGCTACATCTGCTTCCGAATTGCGAATCACCTGTGAATTTCGACGGAAAATAGTTTATACATGTGATTCAAAACCACAGTGTTGGGATCCAAATAAGCAAGCGAGGATGCGCGAAATACCGACCATCCTGCTTCCCGTGAATTTCGACGGAAAATAGTTCATACATGTGATTCAAAACCACGCTGTTGGGATCCAAATAAGCAAACGGGGAGGATGCGCGAAATACCGACCATCCTGCTAAGAAGGTACATTATCTGCGGTTTGAATATACGGATACAGAAAACAGTTGAAGCTCATGCTAGACCTATACGAGTAATGAGGTGGAAATGTGGACTTCGTGTCTCACCGGGGACGAGATAGATCAAGTGGTTAGAGCGCAAATCTACTGACCGGAAGGTCCGTAGTTCGAACTCGACCTCTACCTCTTGACTTCCCCTGTCTAGGCTTGGGCGACCTGGCAGTATCCCAGCCCTCGTGCCTCCTTCGTGTGGCAAGACAGCTAGGCACCAAAAGGGTACTACAGCTGATCGATCGTGTCTCACCAATAAAGTCTCCAGCAGTCAGGAACCTCTAAACCGAATTTTCCTTGGTCAATAAAGGCATTTCTTGATTGCTGAGTTCGAGTAGCCTTAGGTTTAAGCTGCCAGATACGGGAAATGCTCTGAAAAGATATTGTCATCAAGTTAGAATATATGGCTTATGGCACTTCCTTGACCGGTTACTAGATTGTCATTAAAGGGGGGCGAGATGGCCCAAGTGGTTAGAGCGGGAATTTACTGACCGGACGGTCCGTGGTTCGAACCCAACCTCTGCCTCTCGACTTCCCGTGTCTAGGCTTGGGCAACCTGGCAGTATCCTAGCCCTCGTGCTACCTCCTTCCGACAGGAGTCTTGGGTGCCACAAGTCAGCTCCGCAAATTTTCCTCTCCTCTAATGTCTGGGGGCGATGTATCCCAAAGAATAAATTAGCTAAAGTAGACTCCGTACTTCTCGAGGCATTTTTGGAGTCACTGAATTTATGTTTTGAGGAAACCGGAGAATGTCGGGAAAAAAAACCGTTCAGCTGTAGCACTCTTCCGGTGCCCAGCTCCCATGCCACCCGAAGGAAGCACGAGGGCTGGGATACGGCCAGGTTGCCCAAGCCATGGTCATCAAAAAGGTAGACATTGCAATAAAGTGCCGGTTGGACCGTATGTTTAGCGATTCAGATTGAAAATACTTGAATACCGAGTCGTTATTTCGATGATACAGAACGTTGTCCATCTACAGTGGCACAGCACTATTTCTTTAACCACCCAAGATTCGGGAGAATATCAGGTTTTTACTTCCCCCTCTTTACTGAATACGATACCCGCACCAAAAGGAAACACTTTTGAGGGTTTGAAAGTGCTTAAAATTTGGTTAGAGGGCGAATTTACTAACCGGAAGGTCCTTGGTTCGAACAGGACTTCTGCCTCTCGACTTCCCCTGACTAGGCTTGGGCGATCTGGCAGTATCCCAGCCCTCGTGCTTCCTTCGGCTGGCATGGTGGCTAGGCACCAAAAGGGTGTTACAGCTGAACAACTTTTCTTAGACGAGGCTGTTTTTTTAGAATGATCCATAAGAACCGTGTAGCACCTCACTCATATCCATGTTTTTCTAAACAGCTCCCAGGATGCAGTGTACTTTTCCTCACTTTTTTCTGGGGTGAATGCCACTAAAGTTGGACAGACTTAAATAACTATCGGGAAAGGTTGGGAACCGATTGAGAAGTCACCGTTTCATAAACAACCGGTGGTTTTTATTTGGGCAACGTTTCGCTTTTGACACAAAAGCTTCATCAGGCCAAGTGAACAGGTCACCAAATTGGCCAGGTTATAAAACAGACGGGGAACCAATGAGTAAGTCCTATTCAGATTATCACACTAGATCAGTGTCAATTAACGGCTCTTGTCGGCTAGTGTGGCTACCAAAATCTTGAATCGATGAGTCTTGGGTCATTCGAGCTAACATGCGTTGGCGTGCGATTACCAGAGGGAAGAGTAGTCATCATCTGGGTTCCACTTAACCTTACACACCTCCCCTCCCCCCAACTAAATTGTCGCAACATTCACATGTCCGCGAAGATCAAGGAAAATCTACCAGTGCCACCCGAGGTGAATCATCAAGTGAAGCATCCTGAAGTGGAAGATTAAGGAACAAAAAGCGATCGGAACGGATTTGAAACTCCTCTAACCCATCAATTCAATATTTTGGCACCCACACTAGCCGACAAGAGCCTTAATTGACACTCAACACTGATCTAGTGTGATAATTTGAAGAGGACTGACTTACTGATTGGTTCCCCGTCTGTTTTATAACCTGGTCAATTTGGTGACCTGTTCACTTGGCCTGATGAAGCTTGTGTGTCAAAAGCGAAACATTGCCCAAATAAAAAAATACCGATTAAATAATTATTATTCACGCATGCCACTGAAATGTGGTAAGCCTTCATCATTCAGGTCACTGGGAAGTCATAATTGTTCATCTAACCAAACCTGAATGACGAGGACTAAACGGCATAAGCAAGCACGAGGACTGCTTTTCCTATGTTGACGAAATATTGAGTTATCGTGTGTGACTGCAGCCGCACCAACTACGAAACGTCCCAGCGAATGACGCCGCATGCGTGTCCAAGGCTAAAATATCAGCTGAGTCGACTCCAACACTGACGGAACAGCCTGTCAGTCCTGCTTTTGATACACACACTTTGACCAATGGCATAAAGTATATCCATTGTGCTGTCATCTTTTGGGGACTAAATCAACAGTTTGCGGGGTTGTCAACTCAATGGGCTGGGGGGGTTGCGACGAAAAACGCTTTGTGTCTCCTTTACGAAGGTGTCTAGTCTTGGAGGTTTGCTCGAGAGCGGAGTAGTGCCCCTTCAGCTTTGGCTGAAACCGCAATGACCTCAAGACTAAAGTAAGTGGGTATGGGCATGAATTTTATGAGGCGTTACTTTGGAGAAGCTACGTTCTACAGGGACCCTTATTATCATGAACGGTGTCATTTATACAATTATTCAGGAATGACCTATGAACTGAAGACAGAAGAGTTCGTCGTTTGCTCCCGCTGTTTGACTTTTAGATCAGCCTACTTAGGCAACCTGACAGTTTCTAAGCGCTCTAGTTTTTTCCATGTTGAATGACAGTTCTGCACATGAAAGGTGTCAGAGTTTAACTGACCCATTCAACTGCATCATATCCAAGCCTTTCCAGGGAAGTACCCCCAAGGAGAACGCCAACAACTAGTAAGTCCACCAGTATTCCGCTTGACCAGCGGACAGAGTAAATATAAGTTGGATAAAATCCTACCGACTTACTTCTAGTCAGAAGGGTCGGTCCTTACTCGGAAATCATCCGGAGGACCTAACGGATGCTCTCCATTAAGAACAGTTATCGTATTCACCATATTAAGCTCCTTGAAATTATGAAACACCTTTTATATCGTTGTTATTGAATTTCTCAGGGATCTTAGCAAGGTAAGGTTTGGCTAGTGACATTGGCAGAAATGACGCAATCGCGCAGTCAATGGCGCTCGTGCACCAAAGCGTCCCTGTTTCCGAACCAACCGGATGTGCCATTCCCTCCGAAGCTTGAATGTATTTGCCACAGTCTCCCGTTTTCCGGAAGCAGCTGGAACCAGTGTGCCTAGGGTACACGGTTTATAGATGGTCAATTGATTGATTGCATACGAAATTATCAGATATTTTGCAATCTTCCGAAGAGATAAAAACGAACAGAAAAACCCACTGTAGTGACCACCGGGGCCGGAAACAATCGCTGTTCAGAGTTGGGATGCATAGGTGATTTCAGCCGTGTTACGATGTAATATCTAAGGTTAGCTTCTATTTTGGCGGAGAAAGAATAGACAAGGGGCAAACTTCACATTTAGGGACCGAAACTGGGAAGATCTTAGAGGAAGGATTTCATTGGACCGGTGAAAAATGATCGACACTGAGCGGTGTAGGTGTCCCTCTATAGAGGGATACGCCACAGACGCCTGTGATGTGTGCATTGTCTGTGGATTGAACGTCGAATGGGCTAGAGGTTTACACAGAGCTACCTGGTTGTCATTTATTGTGATAACGGTGATGGAGTGGGGGGCGCTTCGTACCCACACACGCTCCGTAAGAAGATGGGAGTAAGAAATCGTAACTTGTCTCATTAATTGACTTCGAGTTTCTTCTTCCAAAAGATGGGAAGCGGAAAAGGAGGGCAGATAAGTTCAGGTCCGGCAAAGCCGGAGTGAATTCTAAGCAACACATCAGTCAGGCTACAGACCCGTGGAGCACATCATGTTTACGCATAAACGAACTGAATACATCAGTAGTAGCCTGAAATTTGGTAATTTTCGAACTGAGATTACGTCATTTAAGTGAAGACACTGTATGCTGATTGGCCGAGAAGCACGGTACATATGTTTGGGGCAGCTGCTGCTCAGCCTTTCACTTATGAGAAATGAATGAGAATTGAATACATTCCACGGAACAGCGGTGATAAACAGCGAATAAGACACCAGTAATGTTCGGGACAAATGCTGTTTATTCCAAATTTCAAGTCTATTCCATCATACAAAGTTGAATTGAAACATTCTCCGGGAGACTTGGCCATTCGACACAGATGTCAGACGTTGTCATTCAGCACGTATATATCCGTTACCAGGTGTGCTTATTGATTTAACCAGCCGTTGAAGAATGCAGACAATCAACCGACGCCTGGTGAAAAATCAGGAAGTTACGCCTGATTAGTCATTCATTCTTGCACAAAACTTACAAAAACTGTGGGCCTGGGTTGGCCTGTCTATTCAGCAGTAGCCGGACAATTGTCTGAGTTAGTCAGCAAACGGCTAGAGCAGTAATCACATCTACAATCAATTTTACCGGCTACAAAATCGCTGTACGTACGCTTGGTCCAGTGGGAACAACATGAAGCCGCTAATCAAAGGGTCACAAGTTGATCCACCTATGATCACCGGGTGAGCCTCAATGAAGACAAAAGCCTTCATGTGGCTCAGTTTTTCAGCATTTATTCACGAGATTACCTTGAGGATACCAGCGCCCTAAAAATGTACTCAGCTTTCAAATTTGGTTTTGCGAGAGACTCACCTGGAACCCAACTGAATCTCTCGTTGATGGTGTTCCCGGGGCGAGATGGCCCAAGTAGTTAGAGCGCGAATTTGCTGACCGGAAGGTCCGACCTCTGCCTCTCGACTTCCTCTGTCTAGGTTTGGGCGACCTGACAGTACCCCAGCCCTTATGCCTCCTTCCTGTGGCATGGCAGCTAGGCACCGAAAAGGTGCTACAGCTGAACGCTTTTTAAAAAAGGATATTTCCAACTAGAACATGAGGCGACCTGGTGCAGCACATTCAACTGCTTAGAACCATCATAAACTAGAGATTCAGATGGGCAAGTTCCTCGCAAAACCAAACTTGTTTGCAAATGCGTGTATTTCGCTAATTCCGTGAAATTCGAGTTCAAGTAGAACAAAAGATTGACGGAAACCCCGGGAATTGCGTCTACCTGAGGAGCTCCAAGAAGGGCGAAACCAGGCACCGGGTGTTGAAGAACTTTCATCAACCTTGTGAGTAGTACACTACGCGTACTCAGTTTTCAATTCTCGACAAACCTCATTGTGTTAATTACAACCTGCGAAAACTTACAAGAGATGTCGGAAACCGCTCGTTTGTGTCCCAAAGAACTACACAGAGGTGTTCTGCTACCGTTGTCGGATGGCACAGATTGCCCAGTAAGAGGAAGCGTCGCACTGTGCTGCGTGTTTGATGGCCCAGCATCTGTTTTGTCCGGCCTGAGCTCAGAATTCGTTCGCAGGACACGTGAGGAGTGACTTGAACCGCGCAATGATCTGCAAACAAACGAAAAAATATGGGAATTCCGAGATGTCGTTTAGATTAACCGGCAAAAAGTCGTCGAAGCAAGTCAGGGAAATATGACTGAGCACACACAGGACAGCGTATGTTTGTGGTGGTACTTAGTCGTTCTAGAAACTTGTGAGACTCCTTGGTCTGTTCTGCATATCTACATAGACAGTTTCCAATGTTTGTGATACTTTGTTGTGTGCGAGTTTCGATGTGCGTGTGCAAAGGACTACGAAGTGTAGAGACAGCTTTGGTCCACAATCATCAGGCAAGCGGGTCTGCGGATGGAGAGCCACGGAACCGAGAAATCTTCTGTCGAGTGGTCATTATGAAAGTTGAATGAGACAGAAATTAAGAGTGACGCGAAAGAGTGAACAATGAGGCATATTTCACGCCAAAAGACGTGAAAGGTGAACAATGAGGCATATTTCACGCCAAAATTCGACAATTCTACCGAGTGAAAACTCTGAAGCCAACTATACGAGAGGAAAAAGCAATAACTGATAGGAAAAATAAATGAATCGTTCATCTGTAACACTCTTCGGGTGCTTAGCTGCTACGCCACTCGAAGGAAGTGCGAGAGCTGGGATACTGCCAGGCTGCTCAAGCCTGGACAGGGGAAATTGAGATGCAGAGGTCGGGTACGAACCAAGGACCTTCCAGTCAGTAAGTTCGCCCTCTAACCTCTCAGCTGATAACAAAAAACAATGACCCTATAAGTTGGGCGTAATCATCTTTCGTCTTTCATTGAATGTGCTCCTGAAAACCGTCGGAAGCTGAAATCTGGTAGGTAGACTTCTTCCCACTTTCGGCTTCCTTAATTGGAAAGTGTCAGCATTTTCAGGCTGGAGTTGCGCAAGCTGTATTTATCTCCAAGCAAGATGAAACACCTGTAAGAATAGTTGACTGAGAGTAAGGGATACTGAAAGCCTCAAGTTAGAAGTAGATCAGTCGAGAAAGTACTGTTCTGAGTGGGGGCGAGATGGCTCAAGTGGTTAGAGCGCGAATTTACTGACCGGAAGGTCCGTGGTTCGAACCCGACTTCTGCCTCTCGAATTCACCTGTCTACACTTAGGCATCCTGACAGTATCCCACCCCTCGTGGTCCCTTTGGGTAGTATGGCAGCTAGGCACTGAAAGGGTGTTACAGCTGAATGATTATCTTTTATTTTACCATTATGAGTAGTAATGCAAGGTTACGAAAAAAGTTTCACAGAATGCATGGCTGCTGTGCAGTTTTCTTCACCTTCTGACCGCTTACATCACAAGCTTTTGAATAAACTGCACAACCTAAGGTGGTAGGAGAATTTAATGATTCCACACAACCTTCTGTTTGACGCCTATCGAGGAGAAAGAGGTCACATGTAGTAGATACGTTTCGGGCATCAAAGCTTTCGCAGTATTTCAGACATAGGGCATAAAACACCAGGGTAAGAGTGCGCAGTTCTGGAGAGTATTCTTCAAAACGAGGGAAGGTAGCTACATTTTATCGAATGGTCACCTGAATCAAATGCCGTGCTACCTTTGCGGTAAAGTAGCAGAGGGCAGACAACTCCCTTGTTATTACGTTGAACTTTATTTAAAAAAAACACCGTCGCCTTGGATTTGGGCACACAGTTTTCTTGTTAAAACCCGCGCCATAAAGTCACTCCCTCGACACTCACTATTTGCCATCGAGTTTGGCCCATTGGACGCGGACTACATGACTCAATGTGCGTCGTAGTGATGGCTAGTTTGTGGTTGCTTTAGTGATTATGCGGAGCTGTCAGGAAGCGATGTAGGCTTCGTAACGCACGGTGGGATTATATAGCCTTCTGCTTCCGTACTTTTGATCCAATACACATGTCATCCACGACGAATTAAGTTTTCTTTTCATGTTTAATCCGAATTTGATTTGTCCAGCTGACGGGTAAACAGTCACGTGATAACAACAAATAGGTCCGAATGTTGGGCGATCGATGGTAACAAGATAGTGGTTGGTAGGAGGCAACTCACAACCATTGCTGAATGGTAGTGAAGTGGACCAAGCTTGTGATAGCTCAGTGGTTAAGGCCCGAACTTACTGACCGGTAGGCCGTGGTTCAAACCCGACCTCTGCATCTCAGCTGCTACTGTCTACTCATGGCAACCTGACGGTATCTCAGCCTTCATGCTTCTTTTGGGTGGCGGAAGGACTAATCCATTTATTGCCATATGGGTAGAAATCGTGCATTATAGAGGTCTATGTAGGAAGACACAATGTGTTAATTGCCCAAATTCGGAACCGTTGCTCGGATAAGCTGAGTCAGCACTAGCAGGACGAATATCAGTGAAAGTGGGCACCTTTTCCGCCTACCACCCTGATAATATTGATCGCCATAAAAGAAAAGTTGGAAGGTGGAAAACTACCGCCTGACATCTCAGAAGGTTCAGTGAAAAAGCAGAATGAATCAGATGAAAATCGAGATGTAGTTTAACAAGAGAACACAGGCTCTGGCTTGTGAAGAACATTCGGGAATATTTACGTCACCATCCGGATGAAGTAGTGTTAGGCGGAATTCCACACGGATTCTGCTTTACCGCTCGCAGTTAGGTGCTGCTGCGGCCGACGAGCCTATCCCGCACAAGATTGGCCAAAAGTTCGGCTTGCTTACCGGTTCGGCATCAAGCCGAGATCCGATTGGTCGAAAGTCTGGACCCAACAGCCGATCATGACTCAGTATTGGCCGAATGCCGGTTGTCAATGTCCCATCCAAAAGGCGTCAGAATTTCCAGAAGGTTGCCGCCGCTTACACCATATATATGACGCGCTGTAAAGTGTTCTTGACTCGTTCTTGGCGTTACTATACCCCGTGCGCCTTTGTTGGTTGTTTTGACGGGAACGCTAGCTTGGGAGGTTCAGACCGAGAACTAAGCTGAGGAAAATATCGTTATTACAATTGCAGTACAAACTTATGGGATCATAGACCAGATATGTGTGAGGGCTGATATCTCAACCACTTCCGCTGGGCCATATACAACAGGGTCAAGCATGCGCAGTCACCGGGCCAGAACGTCCTATTCAACCGACAACCTCAGAGGGCGATTACCAACGGCGGGCGTCCAGAACGGAATATCGCTTTTGACGTGTGTCACGTCCAGTTGCTAGCCAAGTCTAGCAAACGCTATGGTTACAACACAAACGAAGTGGTAATAAGACAGGGAATTTGTGAAAAAGGAGAGATGAGCTCCTAACGATGAAACTTTTTGAAGAAAACAAATTGCTTCTCCGGGATCATCTATCAAGATACATTCCTGTGAGCAATGAACAGGATGCCCAGCGATGTTGAAATGGGAAAGCGGATGAAAGTGAACTTACGTCTCATTCGAAACACTGACGATCCGGTTTAAAAGCAGGAGTGAAAGCTCTTGAGTTGGGAAAATTATGCTACGAAGATTTTGGGCCGTGTATTCTTGCGGTTCCACGATGGCTGTCACGGTTCTCGTCTCATCTGACTCGGTAGACTGACTCTGGTTCGACTGAGTGTGGGGAGGAAGTTGGCGCGGTGTAGAGCCCCCGGTAGAGTGGTCGAGGAGTGTTCCAGCAGACGTCATTGTGCTAGTTACTTGAGAGAACGTTGGCACTGAAGATGGGCGGCACAAGGCACCTGATGCAGAACGAAGAGCATCTCGCTGTTGTGGAGGAGCAAATGTGTCCAATAGCCATACCAGATGGATGGCGAATTCAGTCGACTGCATACAGCTTGAAAAGTGGAAGAAGTGGACAAGAGTGTAAACCCAAACGTTCCAACGAATCTTGATTAATCCCTGAAACTAACGGTTAAAAGGGTCATCGAAGAAATTTAACCAAGATGTTACTGTAAAATGAACCCGCCGTACGAACCCCCGTACACACCCTGGCATATGCATCCCGTCAAAATCGTGAGAACTATATGACGATCGAAGCCAAGCTGAATAGACACCGCTTAGGCAATTACAACGAGAAAGAGAATACACACACGTTCTCGTGGATACGAGCGCACAGTTGTTCACCAAAAAACCGCGTGATTCAATGTAGGGCGGTACACGAACGGTATACACACACACACAACAAGTAACGAATGTGGATTCTGGATGGAAATTACTAAGACTAAATTACTAAGACTAAATTACTCAGACTAAGTACCGATCGATAGAAAACAACAGTGAGAAACAGGATACGGGGAGAGTATACGTACAACCTACAATCCGCTGCTCCATGCTATACTCTATAATGTAGAAGCCGTGTTCAGCGCTTTCAACTTATGCTTTTTCTGCCAAAGACGGAGGGGAGGGAGAGGCATCCAATGCTGGCAACTTCTTGCCCAGTGTTGGTAGTAAATGGCCCAAAATTGGAATATGTATGTACAGTCGATGTAAGAATTTCTCTGGTTGTGATTGGTTGGTCATTGGGCCAACGTTCCTAACAACCGGGGTTTTGACAAGAGATGCACTGGGGCTGTAAACGCGATTGCTAAGGCATCCAGAGATCGCTAACGAGTCATGATCGTAGTCTCGTTGCGTTAGTCACACGTTCCGGATAACCACGCGAGAAATGGCCGTGAGAGGTGCGCGGCCGACAATTAGCTCGTCTATCCTAGGTGACCTGTTCTTGCTAGGCTTCCCCGCAAGCAAGTCGTCAAGCAACGAAGCTTTTCACGCACGTCCTCGCCCCTTGTCTGCACCTTTTCCCGTACATAACTATCGTTTGTGTTTCATCATTGTGAACTTTGCCATCAACAGATAAAATCACCAAGGTTCATCCCGCAGAAAAAAACAGGAGTGAGCTCATTGCTACCTATTCAATCAATCTGCGAACCCTGCACTTGACCGGGCCACCCAAAATCTTTGCAGGAACGCAGATTGACAAACTGATCGGTGCTTTGTCCCCAGGTATTGGGGGACCAAAGCTTGCTTGTGGGGAACTACGATCGGAGAACTGTGAACTTACCGGTGAATGAAGTAGCGATGTAAGTGTTTCGCCAACTCCGGAGACTTCTGATAGAGTGAGACGAGTTGAAGTAGATAGAAATCCACATCGCTTGTGGAAAAACCGAACAGCCTATTCGCTAAGGGTTGGGGATGGATAGAGGTGAAAGTGGCAAACAGAAGGAAGTTAGTCGAATAGTTATTGGGACAGTGCAAAGCTGACGAAACGAAAAATCTCTTTCCTTGGCTAGAAGAACCCGAGTTTCTCTGAGATTATAAAAAAACCTTTTTCGTATCAGTTTGACAAGGTTATGATTTGTCGATAAAGCGTGTTAGGGAAGGGTGAATGAGACCCAGGGGCTTGAAGGCAAACTTCAGGTGATTCACAAGTGTTGTGTATCCAGAAGACAACCTTGAAGTCACACAGACGTGATGACGGGTAAAAACTACGCCCCGCAAACACTAGTAGTTTGTAGTGGAATTTCGAGTCCATCCGCACCCAGTATTTTATAGCTACAAGCTAATTAATCCCTAGTTCCCAAATCACTGAATTCACTCTGTGCTTGCGTGTGTGCGTCCCTTCACATTCCATCAGCGTTAAGCTCGCGAGATTCGGGGTAGTAATTTTTCTGTGAGATGACTTCGAAGAAATATACACGTTCTATTGTTTTCCAGAGTTGGTTGTATTGAGGAGGGACGAACAAGCTATCATCCGTGTGCAGCCACAGGATGCAGGGATGACTCAGGCAGATGAGTAAACCGAAAGGTTTTGATTTACTTGAATAAAGGAATGTCAGGTAGCCGGTGTTTATCTATAAAACTAAATTCGAATGTGGAATTTCCAAAGATTCTCTCTGACGAATTCAAAACCCGTGTTTTAGCCCTGTTTGTTCTCAATTTTCTCGGTCAATTTCTACCTTCCAAAACCTGTGACATTCCACAATGCGCAGAAATGATGGGTCTGTGCACATCCACTGAGTTTTTTATCCACCAGACGGTGTCCTCGAGAAATGGGATTTAGGAACAAGCGATTCACGAAATAACCGAATTCACGTGGGGAACGCGCTTAACAATGAGCTGGATACGAAAAGCACTCTTGCTAATCCGTCGTGAGTCATAAAGTGTTGATCAAAACAGAGAGGAACATTTGACTACTGCTCGGGGTTGACGATTCAAGGATAACGATGTCTTTCGATGTATTTATGCATACTAAAAAAAGAACACAACTTTGGTAGGTGAATCATCCTATTCACATCGTGTACTTCAGAAAACATTCGACTAACGGGCGAGAAACTTATGTGCACACGTGTACTGTATTCTTAACACAAGCCTTACAAGTCGAGTATTTGAATAATGGAAACACCCGACGACAGTTAGCGTGCCAAGAAGTTCAGCCTGACAAACGAGCTTAGAACGCACACAAACTGAAAACAAATTCAACACGTGCGTGATGTTAAACATCACGTGGAGGGTTGGTTTAGCGAGCGTGCGTTACCGTCTGCCAATGAAACGTCGGGAATTCGAAACAAGTAGACATAGAGTTCATGAATGAGAACCTAATCGAAGATGGTCCTTTTACATGTAACTGTTCGCCAAAGCACGAGATTAGGCTGTGAAGGTCAGTGGTAAGTGTGTTTGGAACCACGGGTTATCATCCATCCATCTGATTTGTTATCTAGTTTCGAACGCTTCAAAGTTTGCAGTGAAATGTAGCGTAACTAGGACTATCACTCTTTTCTGAAGAGATGCCATCGTCAAAGAACTGTGATTCGACGAAATCGATGTAGACCTTTCAGTGAGTATACAGCTATGATTTGGCATTTTCCACAAAACCGCAAATAAATAAAATGAACAAGACAATCAGAGTTTCGGACGGGTGATCAAACGTTTGCTAATTTGAGATGCCTATTCGAGGAACTGAGACGTCTTCAGATGCTCGACAATCGTTGTCTCAGAACCATAGCTCCTGTGGGTTGGTGTCGGCGAATCCGTACCGTAACAGTTAGAAAGCGTGTTTTCGGTTGTGCAACGGGTACTTCCATTGAAGAATGTGT